CTTTTTACTTTTTCTATACATATTTCTGTACATTGTTACCTGTACACGAACTTCAGTTGCTTATGTATATAGGACCACTCTGTCTTCCTTTTATACTTTATATTCCCCTTGCTCTAAGAGCTGTAACACCCAAATTTGTCATTCGTGGGATAATAAAGGTTTATTCTATTCTAGAGGTCCGTGCATTTTTTTAAATTACTTTTGATCTTAAGCACACAAAGTGTATTCTAAGCTTGAGTACATTAAACCACACACACTACATCAATAAAAAAACCAAACAAACAAACAACACAATCCTGATGACTTTACTTTGATGTAAGACCAAAATAGCGTTGGAATTACGCAAAAACAAAACCCTGACTAGGTAAAGCAACTTGAGAGCATGGTTAGGACCACTGACCACATAGCACCACATTTACTCAAGTAATTGACTGATCGACTAGCATATTATGCTGCCATGGTGTAGGTGTAGATATGTATAAGCAATTAAACCAACATTTTCAGCTGCAACGTTAAAAAGATATCTACAAAAAAAATGATCACGATCTCATAATAACACTACCATATATTTCTGCATTCTTTGTCCTTTCAGTACACTTTCGAACTAATCACTATTAGTTAAGCCTCTTTCAGACTGTTGATAAGCCTGAATTCTGATGCATTCAATGTTTTCTTACACTGCATTTATTTCTCATTAAATATTCTGATTTTCTGTGGGTGTAACAGTTTCCACCGTGACATCCGATCCAAATAAATAACCGAATAAACAATACTTAAAAAGGACGAAAACAAATCAAGAAATGTTGAACTGTGCCTGATTAACAGACAAGTCTGTTTGCAATTATGCTAAAACCACCAGTTTTTGAACAAAGTTAGACTTGCTGCTCCTGATACAATGAAGCAACGAGCATTTTTAATTGTTGTCTGAACCGAAACCTCGCTTTTCCAGAGAAATGAAACTTGCATACCCTATCCAACTAGCTTTGTCTCGCTGTCGTGGCTAACTAGCATAGCTGATTAGCTGGCGCTGTTCAAGGGATCCCATGCCGCGCATTTTCCCGAGTATAAAGGGGAGGACACGACGGGGCGTCATCACGCCGGCCGGTTAGCTATAGTCTTTAAGACTATCCGGGGGACGGGGGTTATACTGAGAACGACATATGAGTCAACTGAAATACCGTCATCATAATCAAAAAAGCAACGAGTGCTCATTGAACATGTGAACAGGTCGTACCTCATACCGGCTGATCTGACATGATGGCAGCAGCATGCTAACGTTAGCCTCGGCGGGCTTAACTTACCTCTTTGAGTGAGGGAGAGGAACTCTGCACAGAGGAAACGTAACGGTCCACTTCAGCCTTACTTCGCCGCATAGCTTCCAAGGTCAGGGGCTTCTACAGCGGCTGAATGTGATACATAGAAAACCAGAAATTCACTAAATATTTAAAACAAAACTGACGCGAACATCAGCTCGCCTGACGTAAACTCCCCATGATGGTATTGCGCAGTCTCAATGCCGTCAAACGGCAGCTGTCACGTGACTTCTTAACCAATGAGAACAAGAATTCAGTTTGACGCAGACTGACGCATTTCAGTTTGAAGGGTTCTGTTACAAATACCTGAAAATCCTCATTTCTCCAACAATTAAGCCTTAATCCTTAATTTGCTAAATATTTTGGCTAACTTTTGTTACATAAATTAAATTAAACAAACAGATATTTAAACCCTGTATATGTGTAACCAATACTATTAACTTAAACAAATCATGCTATATCCTGTCCATTTGTATAGGCTGATACCTTTGCAAATTTTTCCTGTTTCTGTTGTTAAGCTTCAGTCAAGTTTTGTTTTTAAGAACACTTTTTAGTCACCTGTTTTATTCCAAAGTGTTCTCATCAAAACCTCTGCACATGTGAATAAGTAGCAGTTGTCAGAGGAAAAGCTGTGATATGCAATGCCCATTTGAACTTTATCAGCTACACACACATTCATCACCCATTATGAACTGAGCATCAGAATGGAGAAGTGATTTGGGTGATTTTGCATGTGACGTGGTTGTTGGTGCCAGATGGAGTCAACTGAGTATGATTTCAGAAACTGATTATCTACTAGGATTTTTACACATAACCACATCTAAGATTGACTAACAATAGTCAGAAAAAGAAAAGTCTTCAATGTTCCATTGCACAACAACTATAAAAAAGATTCCGATTCTTGTGATGCTGTAATGGTAGTTATAGGCACACTTGGGGCCCTTTTGTACCAACTCAGTATTGCTGAAATGCAGCAGTCTTAAGTATTGTTGCTAATCATGTCCATGCACCTCTCTTCTGATGGTTGCTTTCAGTAGCATGACTCTCCTTGTCACAAACCTCAAATAATCTCTTTGCTTGCTTTCTCAAACATGACAGTGAATTCACTGCACTCAAATGGCGTCCACAGTCACCAGATCTCAATCTAATAGAGCGCGTTTGGGATGTGTTGGAACAGGAGAACAAATCTGCAGGATCTGCATGATGCTATCATGCCAGTACTACTCAGCAGCTTGTAAAAAGGCCACCACAGCAGGTAATTCTACATATTTGATTTGGTAGATTTTTTGTTTTCTCCTGCGATCAAACCAGTAATCTCTTATTTATTGAAAATGTAAACCATCATTTCAACATGAACCAAAATCTCACAGAAATGTTTCCAGAACTTTATTGAATTCATGCCACAGAGAATTAGGGCAGTGCTGAAGGCAAAAGGAGGTAGAATATAAATGAAAATACTCCAGCTGGTGTACTCTGAAGATATGTATTAATAAAACTGATGTTCTTTTGTCTGTAAGTATGTATCATCTTGGATGTTGCCTTTCTTTAGTTGATATTGTGCACTGATTAATCTTCCTGTATATTTTTTTCTTTAACTTTATTCCCAAAAGTTTTATACTCTGCATGATTGTCATTGTATAAACTTACAGCATAATTCTAGTAATAAATATTTATTCTATCAGTTTATGTTTTGAACTGGTATTTTAATAGTCAAACATGTTGCAGTTGTATTTCTAATTATTTTCTGTTAGCTGAATGTGACAGAGTTAGCTAACATCTGGATATGGCCAACAATTTTGTCTTGAACTCTATTGATTTGTACTCTTAATAACTTCTGAAGTTAGATGGATGCTGTTTCAGATTATGATTGTCATATTGACTATCCTGCAGATGCTAATGGCTGTTTAGTGTTGCACACATGTGCATAATGTCCATTAGTAGTCCTCTGAGTCATTTCATATGTGTGTGTATATGAGAATGTGGAGATGCTGCTAATATACTTGATAAACATAAAAATCAAGCATGTTCCCATTTAACGTGGACCCGAATGCAACATATGTGAAAATTGGGGTGTCATTAAACATTACGCAACACTTGTGAATCCTGAGCCTGCTACTGGTTTCACATTACACTTCGAGAATGGTAAGAAGCTGTAAACCAAATAAATCACTACACACACACACACACACCGGTAGAATTGGCATATGTGTTTATTTTGATGAAGTGTCAGAACGACATTAAATATAATAAACAACTTTCCAAATTTCAAGTTGAGAACATGCACTTTGGTGTGTTAACATGAATAAATCTGCTCGCAAACATTGCAATGATGATATCCAGTATCAGAGCAGTATCTGTTTGCACAGAGTCATCTCAGTCCATCAGAGCAGTAAAGTATCAAATAAAACCATGCACTGAACTATTTGTGGCTCGAGGTGCCGAAATTCTGCCTCACAACAATCAGCCCAGCGGATAGTTTTACTTCTATATGACTTAGAGAAAGTTGTGCCATCTGCACTGAAATGCACAGCAGTAACATACACTTTATAATGATAAAATAGTGGAATGTGTTTATCTATAGAGCTTGTATTTTAAGCAAAGCTTTGTGATAAAATGCAGCTCATGTGAAGCATTCTGAAAGAATGAGACCAGTTTGGCTTTCTTTCCTAAGTGGGTCTGAGTCCCGAGGAAGTCGGTACACCTCCCTAAGAGGATCACTTTCCCTGGATTACAAACAACAGAGGAAACGTTCAACATCAATCCCACATCCGGTCTCTGTACATGCTACAAGCCGTCATGTTGTAACACACAGTGAGTTTGCAGTAACCATTCAATAAATCCTGTGGCTCAGACGCTTGTTATGATCAATATTTGTTGACAGCACATCGAGGCGGGGGAGGGATTGTTTTATAGAACACCGACAGGTAACAGTTATTCACTCACATGTATTTAATAAATCAATATTTCGCCCTCGGCACTTTGGCTGTATTGAATTAATTCAGATTGTAAACGCAAACTTAAAAAAAAAAAAATGCTGAATAAATACCAATTTGCACAGAGATCATGCCACACAAAGATGCATAGCACATACAGTAACAAGGCAATCCAACATACTGCAGGTGATGGTCGAGTCCACCTCTGTAGCATGCTGTATATTAAAATGTAGGTCCAAAAAACAAAAAAAAAAGGCAGACAAAATACTTATTATGCATAATATTAATGGAAATAAACACTACTATTACATAAAATGATACAAGTTGGAAATATTTGAGGTTATTTACACATTTAGGACATTTTCTTTCTTTGGGCTTACTTGATTGTTATAATAATGAAGCAGTAATATTTTTCAATAAAGGTGGTGGCAAAGCTTTTTAAGTCATCATATTACCTCCAGCTTTCCATTACTCTTAAAACTCATGTCACTTTTTTAAATATAGGAAATTAGCAGGCATGTGTAAAACACACAGTGGAGCAATTCTGCAAAAATGGTACAAGGCACAATGTTAAAGCTGTCAGACCGACAATGTGACTGCGGAGTTGCCGGCTGCAGGCACATGAAATTGAAAGCGCAATGCTTTCTAGCTATAACCAACCTAAATGCAACATAGCAGTTGCAAAACACACAAATTCTTTATTTTAATTCTGGGCTTGTACACGGCCACATCACGGTCTCGTCTATCTTTCCCTCTCCAGCTGCTCCACTGCGTTTTTACTTCCTTGCAACAGTTTCAGACAGCTTTTTCAGTCTCTTCTTCAGCTCCAGGGGGAATTTCTCATAGCACTTCTTACACACCGGCTTCATGTCAAACTCCACAAACTTGTTCCTGTGGGAGAGAGAGAAACAGCTGTATTTCAGAAGGCTGGTCAGTGATCAGTAGAGGATATTGTCTCCAGGTGAGAGGACCTATTTGCTATTTTGTAACATATGATTTGTGTAGCATCACTGTAATGATCTCATTCCTTCAGAAGCCCGTTTCTGACAAGTCTCAGAGATTACTTTTAAAATCCAATTTTTTGAATACATTTTAATTCCATCATTAAAACTCTGATTCCTGCAAAAATTGGACGTAGCAACGTCTGAATTTTGAATGTTATTTTTCAGACCTTTATTTCAAAACCCCAAATCCTGGACAAAGATGCACACCTTCCCATGTGTGTTTCTGGTAGGGTGCTGCAATTAATCATATTTTTATCTTTAAGACAATACACAAGAAGAAGACAACTGTCTTAGCTTAAGACTTAAATTTGGATACTGATACTGGTATACGGGGATTCTAAAAATCACATTATACTCTGCATTCAAAGTATCATGTCACATTTGACTTCTGACCTAATATTTACATTTCACATCTGCCTTTGTTTCAACTTGACCTCATCTTTTCCCACCCTTCATAACAAAAACTGACACCCTACAAGGCTGAGACATGATCAAGATGACAGAAACACGCATCCCTCTTTTAATAATTGCAGTCTCAACTTTAAATGAAGTCATTCTGATCATTGTTTTTCAAGCAGTCCTAATTTATGTCTGTTTAATGCTGGGATTCATGGGCATTCTTAATGCCTTTTGATGAATAACAATTCCTGAATGAACAGAATCTTGGCTGTGTTTTCCTTGGCAGAAATCAATGTGTGTGCTGACACAGAGTTACAAGAAAATATTTACAGAGATGTCGAAGGTCTTTGGGTGCCTTCTGATTGTGTTCACTTCTACTAACTTGGCAAGCTCCCTAACCAATTTCCGCCAGCTGCCCCTGAACAGCCTTCCCTCCCAAAGTAGATAATCGCTGTATGGAGCGGCGCACGTGTCATAACTGTTAGGACCTCGTAATTTCAACAGCTGATGCCAGAAAGCTGCCGGAAATGATTACGGCTTTGCGCCTTACACCAGACAGACATGAAACAAAGCTTTCCCTTCAACCTGTGATTGATCTGATTTTCCTGTTTGCACAGCAGATTTACAAGAGTACCGGCTTAAATCCTTACTAGCATTTCCGACTAGGAAAAGAACATTTTGCTGAAATGTTCCCGGTCTTACGTCACTCAGATATACTCAGTCATCTACAATTCTCTGCTCGTATTTTTGTTTCATGCCTTGGAAGCCAACTGAACTCAGTGTATTAGTGATCTAAGGGTTAAAAGTGGCATGGAAAGTAGGAAAAAACTGAAACAGATAGCAAGGAAGACAAAAACTGACCAAAGGAAAAAATCAGCTGAAGTAAGGAGAGAGCAGAAAGAGAGGGATCACAGACACATGGGTATCAATTTCTTCTTCTTCTCTTTTGAGTCACGTTCTCGCTTGGCCAGCCGACGTTTCATGTCATCAGGGAGGCGCTCATAGCAGTGTTTGCACACCGGCTTCAGATCCACCTCCACAAACTTATCCCTGATAGAGCAGGGAGGAAGCAGAGATGGAAATGTGAAAGAGGAGGAAGACATGAGGAGGGGCAGAGAGAGAAGATGAAGGGAAAGGAATGACGGAGAGGGAAGGGGAAAAGTGGGACAAGACAGGAGGACGATGAAAGGAAGGTGAGGTGAAGAAATAAGCCATCAGAGACACAGCATAAGAGAAAGGTAAGAAAAAACAGTTTGGTAGCAGCAGCAAACTGTCTCATATGGAGGATAGTAAAAAGAAACGTGACAGACTACACAGAGAAACTGTCAAACATATCACATGTGAAAGTCTACAGAGAGCCTTCAGAGATTCATAATTCAGCTTGAATTGTCTTCAAAACTTACTTCAGGGTGAGCTTGGTGTTGCAAGTAGAGCAGGCAAAACAGTTGACACACCACGCCTTGTTAAGAGCAGACACCACTGGAAAAAAAAGCAGAAGGAGCAGCCACATGAGGCAGATTGTAGACTTCTAGTTTAAATTAAACTAATGTTGGTGTGAAGTTCAGGCTACAAATAATTCTCAAGGCAAACCATGAGAAGAAATCAAGTTAAATTCAATATAATAAAGAAGCAGTAAAAGTAAAAAACAAAAAAAACAATGCTGATGTAAACAGCCATTATACATTATATTTATTAAAATTAACTTCCTCACCATCGCCTTCAATGACACGATTGCAGTGGTAGCAAACATCTCCAAACAGCTGCATGTGATGAGGAGAGAGAAACAAAAGGTTAACAATGCACTGGTACATCTTATCAGTTTTTAATTGAGGCTCACATGACACACAGTACTGTGCTCAGAAGGCACAGAAACAAGCGCAGGCTACAAGGCATTTGGAGTGAAAAAGAAAAAAGATCCATTAAAGCTTTCGAACACTAGGTGGAGTTGTTACATTGACAATCATCTTTGAGATCCACTGAAGTGAACACTGATGTAACGTGTCTCATATAGATGTATGAGAAAGACTAGCTTTAAGGCTCCTTTACGAAGAAAAAAAAAAAAAAAAAAAAGATCTCCTGATTAATTTTCGGAAAGCCTGCTTTCCTGATTGCTCCCCGCCAAATCAGTGCCTATAATAGCAAACTCCTTACGATCATGGAAGTCTGTGCCGAGCTCATTAGTAGAAAAAAAAAAACCAGAAACCTGAGCTTTTTGCTCGGCTCGCTTCTACATGCGTTTATCTCATTGAGATTTTAGTCAATAATGATTTAGATGATAAAGAGATAAAGTCCACCAAAAAATGTAAGCATTTTGATATAATATTATAGATCTATGATCATGATCATGCTAATTGCATTGGGACAAGAGAAATATCTCTTTCAATGTTACACATATCTACCTGTGCAAGTGGTTTAGACTCACTGGACAAAAACTAATACGTGTATATCTGGAACAGATCCATAATGCTTGCATACACTTATGGTCACTTTATTAGGTACACCTTTGTTAGTACCTGGTTGAACCTCCTTTTGGAATCTTAACTGCCTTAATTCTTCATGGCAAAAATTCAACAAAGTGCTGTAATAATTCCTCAAAGATTTTGGTGCATATCGACATGATAGTATTACACAAATGCTGCAGATTTGTCAGCTGCACATCCATGATCTTCCACCATGTCCCAAAGATGCTCTATTGGATTTAGCTCTGGTGACTGAAGGCTATTTGAGCACAGTGAACTCGTCATGTTGAAGAAACCTGTTTGAGATGATCTGAACTTTGCGACATGATCTGTTATCCTACTGGAAGCTGCCATCAGTAGATGGGTACACTGTGGTCATAAAGTGACGGGCATGGTCAGGAACAATACTGAAGTAGGTGTTTTAATGATTCTCAAATGACACCAGGAGCCTGAGCTGTTGGTACAGGGCAAGATGGGGCGATGCTTTCATGTCAGCTACACCAATTTGTTGATCAGGTGTACCCAATAAAGTGTCCAGTAAGCATATGGAAAAAAAAATTTGTCCATTTCGATGTTCAACTGCAAATTGTCACGTTTTCATCTTTATTTTATACTTCAGCAGCTGTGGACGAACACACAGTTCCAGTTCACTGCTAATGTAAACTCTGTTACTGATACTGACGGAGTCATGCATACCATAAACTAAGACAGAGAAATGCGAGTTTCACAACAGGCTAAACATAACAGCATGTTTCAATTTCTATTTTGGTGTTCCACATTAATATTTCGAGTACCAGTGTGTGTTACCTGGTTGTAGTGCGTTTCGCAGTAGGCCAGGCCCTTGCGTTCGTAGTGACGGTGTCCCAGGAAAGGTTTCTCACACTTAGCACACACAAAATGCTGCAAGCAAACCCAAGCCAGGCACACATGGTTAGCACAGCCATCAGTCAGTACAGTACCCCACACTCAGACTGTGTTAAAGGTAGCAGCACAGTCCGGCTTAGATATTATCAGAACATAAATAGATCAGTTGTTTCAAAGGTTTTGTTACTGCATCCATACAGAGAGTTGAGAAGTCAGAATACTGACCTCTAGAGGATATTGGGAAAATATAACATTTTTATGATGGTAATGAATAAAAATCATATCTCAGCTACGAGATATAACATATTTTTGATTAATTAATGTGAGGGCATGGATTTTTTAAATAGCTGATTTTGGTGAATAGTTTTACGATCCACTTTTTAAATGCTAACATTCATTTACAAAATAAATACTATATATATACAGCCACTATCTTTTTCTGGTAGCACATATAAACTCTCAGACAGAGCTCTAGATGTCACAGGACAATAAAGCTCTCTAGATACCCTTAAATATTAAGTCAGGAAAAGCACCTCGTTTGAAATTAAGGTGGAAGTATGATTAGGCCCCAAGAAAAAAAAGTTTGCCAAGATATCCACTTTTTAGTTGAAAGACTGATTAGAAAACTTTTATACTTGTGTAACCCCTTGTATGGAGGCCGGGTGACTGTAGCCAGGCAGGGAGGCGGGGCGGTAACCAACGTAAGGCCGGTGCTTAATCCCCTCACCATATCAAAGTGTCTCTCACAATAGGCACGACCGCCTCGCTCATAAAACGGGTGACCCTGAAACGGGCGCTCGCACACAGTGCACACATGATGCTACATGTGGAGGAGGGAAGACAGGAAAATATGCAAGGAAATATGTAAGAATAGAGATGTAAATAGGAAAAATAAAGCCAATAAACGTAACTGTGGAGGTAAAAAATATGGATAAAAAGTATGGCACATTTTTCACTAGGATAAAATATAGATAATAGAAAGCAATCATTTTCTTTTCTCTATGAAATCCAGCTGAGAATTACTGTGTTTGTTCTAAATACAGAAAAGGAAAATAACCAAAGAATACATCATTTAGATTTAAAATAGATCCACATACAATCTGACGAATCATACTAAATAAATGAACACACTGAAATATTACCTCCTTCAAGGTGACTCTATTTTCAGTGAATAAATTGAGCCAAGTTAATGTAACTAAAGCGGTTTTCATATGCTTTTCGGTTGTTTTATTATCACACCTCCACATGCCACTGCTTGCCCATTGCATTAACCACACGGCCTTCAATGGGTCTCCTACAGGCTCCACAGATCGGGACACCCATCTTGTCGTGGCAGGGTAGACAGTAGAGCTCCCCCTTCAGCTCCCTTGCATCAGCTGTCAGCTCCTTACTGAAAAGGTAAAAAACCCACAATAAACAATCCCAGTACATTTTACTGTAATTGAAGAGATTTATTTAGCTGTCATTTACGTACACAACAGTGCATATGTGAATATGATCAGATAGCTTCACACAGCTGCAATAACACAACCTGTCCAGCAGAGAGCAATAATACGCCTTTCTGAAAATGCTCCTTGTTTAACAATTGTTTCAAACATGTTTGACGGTGATTTTCTTTTTAATAGAAAGTCTGTTTACCCGCAGTTGTTGCAGTTGAAGTGATCAGGGTGGTAGGGGTCGTTCTTGAAAAGCAGAGGCTGCTCCTCAATAATGGCGTGGCACTTCTGACAGATGTACTTGCCGAGGCCCCGAGCTTTCTCTCTGTTGTGACATGGGCGGCACAGATGCCTGGTGGGACAGCAAAGGGGAGAGAAATATAGAAAGACATAGAATACTTGTTTAGATGCTTTATCACCTAATTATGAGTTTTGTAGATCTTTCCACATCTGGTTTTGTCTTCTGTGATTCAAGTGAATCAAACGGATACAAGTATCCTCCATAAATCCTTCTCACAGGAGTTAGATGTGTCCATGACATGTTTTTATACATTAACTGAGGCTAACAGTGAAAATTAGGTTGGGACTTCCTCATATGTAGAACTTTTAACTACTTGAAATATTTTGGCTTAAACAAAGGTGCTGCCTGTGCAGAGCTTGCAAGACGCAGAACAAATGATGCTTGCTCATTGGTGTGAAAACCACCACACATTTATTTTGGTTGGACAATAGATTGACTATTTATTACGAGGCTAGCAAAGTTAAAACTGTTTAATATGTTCCAGCTGTGCCAGATATTTTGGTTTTCACATTCAGCGCTGTCGGAAGGTGTTGGGAAAAATTCAGGGCTGTTTTACATCTATGAGCTTTGGTGTAAGATTTCAGAGCTGAGCCAAGACAATATAAAAGTCAGGGGAGAGTAAGACAGGCTCTATATAAAGTATCTGATAAAAAGCATTACAGAAAAAAAACTGTAGCTTTCTATATCTGTTAAAAGACATCATTTAAAAAGAATCCCAACCGAAACTGTGGTGAGTTGATGTAGATGACTGACCTTCCAGCATTCTTAACAAATCCAACATCTGCGAGCACAGCCTGGCAGATATCACAGCAGAAACAGTCTGGATGCCAACTGTTGTTCATTGCCTTGATCACACGGCCAATAATGAACTCACCTGGGAGAAAAAAAAAACAACAACGTTTAAATAGGTGTGTTCATGATAATGCAAACGTTACGCAGATATTAATTATGTCAAGAGAAACAAAGTCCACATCCTCCCTTTGAAACAAATGTAGCAGGTAAAAAAAGATGGATGGATTTAATTAATTCCCTGTACTCACCACACTGGTGGCAGCAAGGTGCAAACAGCATCTGGAAGTCATGCTCACAGTACTTCCTGCCTTCAAACTGTCAACAGATCACATAAATAGATTAGAACAGTCATAACACTGACAAACAATATCATTTAAAAAAAAAAAGCTCAAATAGCTAAAATATACACAAACTTCTAATTATTATACTGTGTGAACCACTGACTGTAAATAAAAGGTGGATGTAGCCTTGAAGTTCTTTGTAGTGGCCAGCAGGGGGCGATTCTGGTTTAAAAAAAAAAGAGATCTGACTGTATTGGGGTTTCTTACATGACATCATCTGCAGATTGCTCGAGAGACGTCTGCCGTTGCTGGTTGCTGGGTCTTCAACTAAACTAAAGTGTTGCACTAAAAACTTCCTAGTGATTGCCACGGCCACTGTTAGTACTTTATTGTTATCTGGACAAACTATACCTGCTAACTTCCAGCCAAGCAACAGTACAACGAATCGATGATTTTGAGGGCAAACTGTTTGCATTTCTGGTTTGTGTTGCCCTTTCCACAGTTTTACTACTGGAGAGTAGCTGTTAAATGTTTGTAGACAAGTCCATCACTTCTATTCAAAATACAACTGGAGCAACATGCTATACCTCAAAAAAATCAGTTTGGAGGTTTTTGCCATTTTGCCTTAGTGACTTCCATGCGGCTTCCAGGGGTTCACTAACCGGTCTGTAAGTTTTAGACATTATTTACCCAGCAACTGCCATAAAACTCAAGCATCCACTTGCAACCACATGCATCACTAGTTTCAAGTGTTCAGCACAGCGTGATGTTTATTTGGTTATTTAAGGTGCCAGTTAGAGTGAAATTTAACAAGAAAGTACATATTTTGATTGACAAGTTGCTACCTTATGAGTGCACAGTGTCATTGTTTCTCAGTTGGAGAAAACTGCAATGCATAAATTGACTTCACGCACCACTGGGTAATCTCTCGTCCCACTGTCTGGGTGTAACAGCAGTGTCATGACCGAGCTTTCTAAAGGTTAATCTGGATGAGTGACTGCCACAGTTTATATTTTATTATATCATGAATGTGACACTTACAGGCTATAATCCAGTAACAGGGGTGTTGGAAAAATGGACCGTCTAATGACGAAAAATGATAATTCCTTTGAAGGATTAAAGGATATGCAGGAAAAGAAAGTGGGTTTGGGGGTGGGGGTCAAATAACAGAAGGGGTGTTTCAATCAGTTCGGCAGGGGGAATTAAACCCACACTGTTGTAACCCAGTTTTAGAATATAAAAAGAATAAACAGGCTTTTGTACATATTTCTTTGTATACATTTAACTGTATTTAAACTTTATATATTAAGTCTTCCCTTTAAAACAAGAGTTTTATTATCATTCTTATCAATAGGGTTTTCTTTTAAATCTACATTTTACAGGTAATATGTATCAACTGACACAATGACAAGAAGTATAGCACAATCATCAAGGATGCACAAGTTGTGAGGCTGATACTGATACTTCAAAAGCAAAACAAAAAACTCATTACCAGCCATTCCAGTATTTACTGTCACACAATGTGGCAGCTAATCTTTATCTGAGTATTTATAGGAGCATGTAGCATGAGGAATGACATCTAACATCCTTGGCTTTGATGTTTATTTACTGGTCAGAGCTAACAGGTTCTCTGGAGTCGGTAAAACATCTGGCCCTGTGTCAAGTATGCAAACGGTTTACTGGAAGAGAGCTTCTAATAATCCAATAATCCTTTAAGGTTGTGCTCGCCCTTCTTTATTTACTTTAACTGGACAGTTCCTGGACACTAAACATTGATCTAACTATATAAAGAAGGCCAATTTATTGTTAAGCTGCATTTTAAGCTTTGTTAGGCAATGAAGCATATCTGCTATAAAAAGTTGACACAATTAGCAGGTGTTTATTATAATGCACAAATCATCATGGTACCATCATGCATATTTTATGGGATTAGTAAAGAAAAAGATGTTACCTCATAGAAGAGCCCCTCTGGGAACTGCTGGAAACACTGGGCACACACGAAGCACTGTTCATGGTAAAGTTCCCCGTTGCTGTTCACTATCTTCTCTACTGGGTCAAAGCCACTCTTGCAGCGCTCACACATGGCATTGGCCAGTGCATTGGCCATGTTGCTGAGGAGAAGAAAAATAAACTTAAAATCAAGGACAAAGTGTATTTCTGTACTCAAAAGATTAGTTGATATAAACCTTAAATAAAATATAATCATTACAAAAAGCTTTTGCAACTGAAGCAAAACTCGCTTCGCTCAAGATATTATTGGCTTCAAATAAAGAAATGGTGCCATAGCAGCAGGTATGCTAGTAACAAATGACATTATTATTCACTTGGACAGAAAGACACATTGTGCTACCATGTTTGTTGATCTATCCAAGGCATCTGATTCTCTTGAGCAAACCCTGCTCTTAGGCAGACTCAGTGATGTTGGTTTGGGTGACTGTGTTCAGGAGCTAGCTTGCGGATATATCTCACTGTGTTTATACAGATGGATATAAGTCAAGTTTTCTGGACAGTCCCCCACGGTTAAATTTTAGACCCCCGTTTCTTACTATTTTTAAAAGCACAATTTAAAAGAATTGATTTACTGCTAAAATGCAGCTTTATGCAGATGACACCATACTTTACTCCGAGTCCGGGCATTGCCTTTTGTCTGTTGCAGGCATCATTGTGTGGTTTAAAGGTGGTTCATAATGCTAAGAAAACATAACTGTGTGTTCTATAATCCGGTTTATTGGCCTTCATTACTCCTAAAGCTGGGAACCAAGTCACTCCGTGCATTGCTTTGAAGGTGACTGCTGGTTGCTTGCCACCATCCCAGGCTCTAGTATCCAAGGTAAGCCCTCTATTGTATTAAGTACCAGGTCATATCTCAGTCAACAGTATTCTTTACTCTCACTCATGGTTGCTTCAGTCAGTCACAAAGTTTATCTCAGCTCCTACCTACTTTGTGTTGCCAACCGTTACTTCACCTTGTCACAGCAGGTGAGAAGAGCCGTGTGAAAATAACAAATGAGGATCCAATCGCAGGCAGTAGTGGAGAAGTGAAGGTGGTTAATTGAACACGAAATAAATACAGACAAACAGCAAATGGAGCACGAAATAAACTAGACTGGCGACAACTAAACTACTGAATACGAACCGGAACTCAAACATGAAGCAAGGTGGACGACGGCACAAGATGGTGACAGTGGGAAACACACGGAAGAAACATGGTGGATACACAGACAGACCAGCAACTACAATGACAGAGGACACGACTTAAATACACAGAGAAACACAGGGGAATTACACACAGGTGGTGGACACAGCTGGGAATAATCAACAAGACGAGACAGAGGTAAAACTGAACACACTCACATGAGACGCAGACCTTCACAATAAAACAGGAACAAGAAACCATCACACTAAGACAGACTCGACATAGAGAGACAGACAGAAAATGACACATGGAACTAAACTAAACCTGCAAAAACATGACAACTCAAAATACTGGGTCAAACTGACCCAGAACCGTGACACACCTGTGGTTACCAAATATTCATTTCCATAGTCTCTGGTTGCCACTTCCCTGCAAATTGTTTTTGCCATACTGAGTAAACTACTTTCTTATCTGCATCAACTCCTATGGCTTACAAAACAACTGCTATTAATGTATGAGTAGTCCTCTAGACGGCTCCTCTTGAGGGTACCCAGGGTTTTCCCCCCTATTTAATAAGTCCAACCTTATTTCTCTAACTTAATTATAAAAAATATTTTATTGTTTCCTACCATTGATTTTACATCTGTAAGGAATTTCTTTCTGTAACATATTTCCCTAAAGAATAATGATAACAAGGGTCATGCCAGGACACACCTAATGTAGTATCGTCCACCAACATGATAACAGCTGAAAGATATACTGAGTCAAAAGAGAAAGTAATGTGGGAAAGACCAGTCACACGCACACACACACTCACACACACACACACATACAGACACACAAGGTTTTAGGTTTATTTTGGCTCAGCTGATTTGGGAAACAAACTAAAGTTAATGCTCATCCATCCAAGAAATGTGAGTGCATGCACTAACATGGATTCATACAGAAAACAAAACAGAACAAAAAACCCCAAACAAAACAGAACAGATGTGGTCTAATGATTTTTTTTTTTTAAAAAAAGCTTGAAAACCTGAGACAGGCAGCAGCTATTAGAATAGAATATAATAGAATAATCCTTTAATTGTCCCACAAGGGGAAATTTGGTTGTAACAGCAGCCAAAAAGACACATATAGAAACAAACAGTACACAGGACACAGAACAGCTATTGCTGTTTTGCTCGACAATCAGAATTGTTTGTTTTGAGAAACTTTGGGTTTCTCTGGTTTCGTATTTTTGATTACTCTTGGTGTCATGGTTCTGTATTCTGTTTGTTGACATTTGGGCTTTCTCTTATGATCTTAAGGTTACTGTTTAATTATCTGTGCATTTAGTTAATTGAAGGTTGTGTATCCCCTTTGTGTATTCCCACTCTGTTCCTTGTCTTTGGTCTCCATGTTTTGTCTTCTGTCTGTGTTAAGCCTGGTTGTCTTAGTCTGGGTGTGTCAGTCTTTTCCTGTTTTATTTTGGTGTCTGTTCCTCCCTGTATCTTGTGTCTAGTTTTACTTCCTCCTTAGGCATTATGCTAGTTATCTCCAGCTGTGTTCTCATCTGTTTCCCATTCTCTCGTTATCCTTTGTTTGCATCTATTGCCTCAGTCGTCCCTTGTTTTTGTCACATCTTCTCTCATGGTTGTATTCTCCCTCGCATTATCTTTATTAAAGGGTTTTTTTTTTATACCTTCCTTAGCTTGTGTTATTTTATACTTCGTTTTAGTTTAATAAAAGCATCTTTAGCTTAGTTTAATCCTCTTGTTTCCATGTGCTGTATTCTGAGTGCAACTCTGCCAGCCACGCAACCAGTCCTTACATTTTTTTTACTGCTGTACTGCTAAAAACACAACTGTAATGCATCACTGGGGGTGGGCCCCAGGCTAATATTTCCTTATGTTGCAAAAACCGGTGCCAGAACAAGCAGCACATTATGAGGCACACCCAAAAACCTGCAACAGAGATTCGTGAAACCATCCTCAAAAAACAAAAAGAATTATTTGCAATCTTTTCTTCTGTCAACCATCACATCTGCAAAATTTGTCACAACACACAGTTAAAACCCCCAAACGTTTAGTTCATTTAAATAAAAAGAAAATCTGACACATGAACAGCTGGCACACAGCTGGATGTTTTGATTTTGATTTACAAAATGGAAAACAAGCCAATCTGATCTGGCAACGGGCAAACTACGCTCTCTCTCAAACTGAATGAATCTATTATGAAAAATGTGCAACACATCTGTCAAACAGTCAGCTCAAATTTACAGCATCTAGTTTTTATAGATGTTGACAAGTTTTGGCTATACTATCATCTAATATTTGGCTGATTGGTCCTGTGTGCATCTGACCAGTCTGTATTTACTCCTAAAGGTAGGATTTGTTAGACCGAGCACAGAGATCTGACCAAATGAATCCGGTATGGCAATCTCTACACAATTCTCCCCAATCTGATCCTTTATATTGTCATAACTCTCCAAACCCACTTCTGTTACAAATTATACTCAGGCTGAACTTTGGACTACTTTCATCTCGACCTCAAGCACAGAAAGCAATCAAATGCCAAAACTGCAACATTCACTGTTAATTAATAAAAGCATATGCCCCCTGCTCAGAATAACAACACCTCCTAACACTTAAGACAAACTGGAGGTGAATGGGAATGTGCAGACATTTGCAGAGATAAAGGAACAACAGCAAGGGAATAGCGGGACTGTCCCGGCTTCGCTGCTCTGTTTTAAAGGTCACAATACCACAGTGTATCTAAGCAACAGAAGTACGCACACAAGGCCGTTGAAGGATGTTTATGGAGTGATGCCATCTGTTCATTTAAACTCACACCAACTTGGGAATCATCAAGAATTCCACAAACTTCAAGACATTTTAACTCACTGTTTAGGGCTTTACTCTAAACTGGTCATCATTCCAAATGTCTGCCAAATGTCTTTAAGAATGCGCGCTACATCAAACGGGTAGAGTGAGTGGAGGTTCTTTTAACATGAACACATTGAAACAAGATGTTTCCACTCCTCACATGCTTATCAGACGCATATTGTTTTATATGCCCTGTCTGGTGTGATATCAAACACACTGAGAGCCCTGCCCTGTCCACAGGCTTGGTAGGAGGAAGTGATACATCCTTTAGGCATTTCCACTCTGCTATCAGCTTCTAGCACTCTGTGTGAGCCAAAGACAAGCCAGAGATGCAGATCTCAGAGAAAATACGTTGTTTCTTTAAGCCTGGTGCAATCAATGACAATCCGGCTCTTTTTAAGGCCGTGTAGGCTGAAAAAAAAGTCTCACCAGCTTCTGCATGAACTGCTCATATGGACAAGTCAAGAGAAGGCAAAATGATTTCTAATACAATTAAAATGGGTCCAGATTTCTTAAAACTCCACAGTGAATATAAAGTGGATAAGAGTGGATAAAGAAAATCATTTTTTATGAGCACCATCTGTTCTCTCTACTCTGCCTTCTCTGGTCTCCATTTATCTTCAGGTCTTCTGATTTGATTTTTCAGTGTTTTCTGATTCTTCTTATATCTTTAATATAAAAAACCTGACTGTTCTGACCATGCAATGGTAAATTTCAGCTTTTCTTAGAATGATTTCAACAAAGATTTACAAATAAGAATTGCCTTATTACACTGGTGAGGGCTCACAGTAAAAATAGCCAAATTTTTAAAAAATGATGTCAGCACATGTGCCAGTAATCCCCGTGAACCAACAGCTCGGTTTCCTGACTCGGCCCCTGTATGATGTCATTGAGAACGGATATTCCTAACATGACCATTTTAGGCTGCAAGCACAGAAACCCCACCCATCTGCTGTTCAAACCTTTTGTTTGCTAGGTGCAGCCAGTCAGCGAAAAGTTGGATTACAGGGAGGGGCAGGCTCAAAGATAGAGCTAAAATCAGTGGATGAAATGACTGTCTTAGCACACGAAAAGAAATATTATATTGAAAAGTTCCATTTCAATGTTTTACATG